CAACAGAGATAGTGAGATCATGGTTTCTGCCCGAGAGGCTACTTTAGTTGCACGGTTTCAGACCCACTGACTAGTGGCAGATGTGTTCATGAGATGTAGAGAATACATTCTGCTGGCAACCGGAATTTTCGAAAGTCCACAAACATAAACTTCAAGCATATCATGGCATGCTAAAACATTCATGATAAAAGCCAAACCATAATGTACTAAAATAATCTGTCAGGTAATAGCTACGTTAATCAGACTTAAATACCCGAAGTAGTTTTGCTGAAACAACGAATCTCAAAGAAGTGGTTTCCAAAACGTTTGACAACATTAGTGATATTTTCAATCGGAAATGTGTGAATGACTCACATTTAGCATCAAAAAAACATGTTTCGTGAATGTTGATAATATTCTTGTGAATGAAATTGGATTTGAATTTATTCGTCTGGTATTGAAGTATGTATTCTGTGCATGCCCACATATGCTTTGGGTCGGAAAGTAGTAACTACTCATTCTGCATGAGGAATCGAATCACTTTTGGAGCATTAAACATTTTACATGAATAAGTAATGTGAGTTAGAATTCTCAGCTGAAGGAGCAGAATGCCTGACAATATGATGCTGACACATTACAGAAAGGATCTTCAAATCTTAAGAACTAAAATCATAACTTATGATTGCCAATGAACCACTGAAGTTCCTTAGGGACGATGTTGGTGGTTTCATCAAAAAACACAAATTTAGCAGATGAGTTGTAGTCAATATGCATGTCAGAAGCTCAAAGATGGACGTGCTCTACCGTATATTTTCGACGACATTTCAAGATTGTACAGTTGATGTAGTTGTTCTGAATCTAAGGTTTTAAATGAGACATTATCTCACATCTTAAAAAATGGACTCACGTTAACCACACTCTCTCTTGTCACTTTACTGACTTTGAAGATATATATAGAAAATATATCGTGATACCGAGTAATCGTGTTGTGAATGATTGAACCATGCTTGCTGAATGGTGATTTTGCCGGAATGGAGAGAAATGTTGAATGAAGATATTCCTTATTGACATTTAATGATCAATCATTATTGCAAGCAACTCAACAATCGACATCTAATCAACATCCATTATTATTCATCAGTGTTTCCTGCTTATTTATTAACTGTATAGACATGACTACATTTATTTGAATCAACTCATTTAGTTCATAGTTACTTGTGTAATGTGTGTAATCATTCTATTCACAAATCAGTAAGACTCACATAGAATCACTAAATATTAGTGTGAATATGTAAATGAACATACTGTGACAGTTCTAAAAGATTGGACCGATCTCTATCAGCAGTCTCTCCGTATTACTTAGACGCCTCACATTTGAATCTACTGCACGCATTTGCTACACATCCGCGTTCTGGGCGGGAATATCTCGTGAACGAACAGGCAGGAAGTTGGCGGGAACAGTAACGTAACAAGTTCCTATGTTAGTATAATTGGATTTGTTTATTCAAGTTACGGCTCTATGAAGGCATTTCAGATCAAATACATAAAACAATGAAGTATATATTAAATGATATGTTAATTGTAACTGGTGTAATCATTTAAAATGGATTTCTGACGGATAAAAAATTACAAATCAATACATCACAGTTTTTGAAGAAGTGTAAAGTATTCAGGAACACGTTAACATTGATCAAAATATTTTATTATCAGCAATCAATTATTGATCATCGCTTAGAATTGTATCAACTGAAAGCTCAAGTTAACGACAACAATAAAAGAAAAAGTTGACATGAAATTGTAAAATAATCACAAGTATTATAAATTCGAACGAATATATAAACGCCATATATAATAGAGGGTAATTTTCCAGTTTGATGTACGTCAACAGATAATACGTCGTCAGTATAATGACCTAAAATTGTTCAAATAATCATGTTTAGTCTGACAATAAATAAGTAAAATAAAACACGTCATATTTACCTGCTAAAATAAAAATCATTCACCGATGAATTGAACGTAAATTAACCGGCTCGTTGAAATGTTTTTAACCTTGCAAATGAAATGTTATTGATGCAATTGGTTGTTTACTGAAATAAACAAACACCAGATGTGTTTTTTGTTGACGAAGGAATAACAAAAATCTGCACTTATCAACACTTTTGCTTTCTAGTGAAATCAATTGGTGTCTAAACCGTTGATGTTTCACTAAAAAATCAATCTTTAAGAATGCTCGGTAATTTTTCAAGTTTACTTTTTCCGTGCGAAGTACCATATTTTATTTCACAATATACAGGGAGAGTCAAATATATATATATATATATATATATATATATATCTGAGGATATATGTATATATGTTGAAATTTAAAAGGTAATGACAAACGTACTATCGACATTGCCTCGCACCAACAAACGGCTGACAAAATTGAAAATGCAATCTAGAATAGAACGAAAGAACATTTTTCATTACAAACTATTTTGTGAATATTTTACTTGCATTCTAAAATGTTTTCTATTCAAAGATAGGCTGAGTGCTATGTGTAAACTTAAATGAATAGAGGAAACGACTTCATCATTATATTTTGCTTGTTCCCGCTGATTTGTGTACTTTGCTACTAAGAGACAGTTTTCGCAAAGCTGTATCCAGCGGTTACTTATTCGCAAGTGTCAGTAGATGACGCATCTAGATTGCTGCCAACTATCAATACTTATCGTGCTTTTTTCCAGTACAGGTACTTCAAACGAATTGACTCGTCTGTCCTTCAATCAATGATATGCAAGTATTGTTTTACGCACAAAAACTGTAAAACCTCTATCTCAAATCTTTCAAACAGTGGACTTTAAATAAATGAATACACATGATTCGATTCTGATTATTCACTCACAACAGATAATTGAAGCACAAATTAATTTTACCTATTGTGCTCATTTTATAATAGTTGAATAACAGGTAACATTCACGATTATAATATAACATAAGATCAGTGATCACTTCAGATGCGTTGAAATTGATATTTTGATACAACATACCGCACACGCGCTCGACCTCAGTTAGAAGATTATCCAAAAGATGGGGCAGACGATTTCACCTGTCACCAATTCACATCAGATGAGACTACAGTGTTTTACGTTTAAAAATTTATTGGGAGGACGATTTAAATATATATATATATATATATATATATAAACAAAATTTCAACCATTTGTAAAAAGCTTACTATATTCAATTTTGTGCGCCCACAAATGACCGACAAAACTGTAAATGCATTCTGGAATAAAGATGAAGAAAATTTCTTGGGATATTTGATTTCATTTTCTAAAACGTTTTTTACATTCATATTTTTACTGACTGCTATAACTACGATTATAATGCAGTTTGGCGAATAAGGCTAAGTAATATCCTGTTACCAATGTAAATACTATGCAACTACACTTCATGTTTTTGATAATTAACTTGACTTGACTTAACTTAACTTGACTTCTTTTCAATCGAAATTATTTTTTACTGTAACTCAATTAGACGAAATTGATGAAATAATGATAAGATTAAGCTAGTTGGATATTTTTTTTTTGGTCTTTCTTCAATAAAATATACAGTGGCTTCTCATTTCGAACTAAGCATATCAAACACCTACAAATATGGTTATGTGAGGAAAAATTCCATAATATTAGGCGTCCGTTATACATATATGATTGAACATGGATTTATTTTCAGTATTCACAAATAACAGAAAAATAAAGCATATGTTCATTTCAGTTTTTCTGTATATTTTGCCATAAGAACATAAAAGTTGTAATTCGTAATGATTATACAACATGAAATCAGTAATCACTTTTGAATTACTGAAGTCGGTGGTTTAGGACAACTTACTTTTCTCGTTTCATTGTTCCAACAAACAATACTTAAAATGCTGCAGACGATTCCAACTATGACTGATGCACAGCAAACTAAAAATATCAGTTTCCTCCATTTTCCTGCTGAACCTTTGGTTCACTGACCCAATTCAAAAGTCGAAATCATTATTAGAAGTGACAAAACTGGTGCAATAATTTGTGCATACCGACTTCCTGGTGGAGTCAATAGTACATCACCGACAGTCATAATTATCATCTGAAAAGTAAAAGGAAATATGTTTTGCTTTACAGTAAACACATTATGGAAGACTTTAACAATGAGAAACGTCAATCCAGTAATAAATATATGCTTGTAGTGCGTCCACATATATTCCAGTTCTCTTACATCTAACTTGGTTAAGCCCTTTCGATTATTTTATTTAACCAAGCCATTTGTATAGCAACAACTCATATGTACCATTGTTATTTTTGATTATCTGGTTTGTATGAGCTTGTACGACTGAGCATTGCTTACGCTTACGCACTTACTCATCCTTTTCGCTTTAATGTTAATCTCGTAATATTCCCATGAACTCACATGATTTGTATCGCTTGCTTTTGACCTTGTCAATCATTCGTCGCTTTTATTCATGTGTGTGCATACCTATTTCGCTTGTCATATGTCTGTCTTATTTTTATCTGACTATATATTCTTAGTCATGCTCTATCTCTTTGAGTTGGCTCACTAGCCTTCTCCAGTTCGCTCCGCTCATTCGCTTCCATTGTAATCCAAAGAGTTGGCTCACTAGCCTTCTCCTATTCGCTTCTTCGCTTCTCTATGTGGTGTGCCTCGAATAAACCTATATGATACCTGGAATTCATCTTCTGATTTATAAACGGAGCAATAAGAACACGCAGCCATCGGGCACACTACATGCTCATACGGTCTTTCATCATAATTGCTCAATCTCTACCTCACATTTGACATCTTCATTTGGCTATGATCAATTTAAAATTCATCCCTGAATCTGAAAAGCTGATATTTGTTTGAACTTCTCAGTATAGTATATCAGAATAACTGTTTATGAGAATAAATTTCAACAAATACCAATCTAAATGAAATTCCCCAAGACTGAATGAAAATGTATGACAAATCATAAACATCATATGAAATCATGTTCGACTTACGGTTATAATCATGATAATGTTACTCACTGGAGACGTGGTGTGTAATGGTTTGGTGAGTATAATGACGAGTGCCAATAATAGTGCGATTCCTCTAAAATTTGAAAAAGAAATGTACGTAAATAAATAAATTGATCATAGTACGAGTCATTACCAGTCACCTCTAATATATTTGCAAAAAATGATCTGAGATGCAGACAATCAACTTTTTTTATGTTAAAATATATAGGGCGGATAATAAAAGAATTCGACAATGAGAAAACTTGGCGAATAATTTTCATGACGGCCAAACACAACTCGTCTTTAATGTTCAAATATGTCAACTTAGATGCGTTCATTATGATTTAGTTGATTCCTCAGTTCAAAGGATGATCCAAAATAGGTATATACAAAATAATATGATTCAATGTTTTCAACTTTCATGACTTACGTTAGAACGAGACCAGACATTACACGCGATCTTACCCATACTCCTGAGTCAAATCTATAAATGGAATTGACAGTTTTACATCAGCGTCAAAAACTTACATGCACGAATCTGCTCTTTTACAGATGCTATCATTATTTGTTTTTGTCACTGCACAGAAAGTTAAAGTCGTCACGGTTAAAATAGTAACACTGGATAAAAGCAGGATCTTCATTTTCTAATGGTTTGACTAAAATGTTAGATATATGTTACGATGATAAGTCAATAGACAGATGACGAAAGAATTCAAATATCTTTTCGACATTTATTCCCTTCATCGTCTACGGTATTTTGACAAGTATGCACTCAGTTACATGTCTCCGGTGTAAGAAAAGTAGTTGTTGTTAATTGTTTACTGTTGTGATCAGTTATCAGTTGACCACGGATCATCATTGTAATACATGTTTTAAATCAGCCATCTAATTATCAATCCATATATTCATCCATCCATCCTTCTGTCTACCTATCTATCTATCTATCTATCTATCTTTTTATCTATGAATAATCGAATAAATGATCTTCTCCTCGTGCTGACACAGTCAAGTCAAAAAAACACCGAATGTAATCATCAAACTTATATCATAAGTTATATCAAGTTGCGAAAATCTGTAAACTCACATCGTTTTACTTCAACACACGCTTAACATGAATTAGTACAATCACTTAAATTTAAAACCGCATACACCAATCAGTCCACAGCATTTCCGAACTTTGGACCAAATAAAAGAAGAAAAACTGATTGAAAAAAACAACGGAATCTTGAACTCAGTTTGAAATACAATAAACGTATTCTGACGACACGTTACGATACTTCGTAAATCTTATAGCAAAATATGGACATCTGATAATACATCACGGAAACTTGAGGAATGTTTATTTGTCTCTTACAACTTTGATGATGAGTTATTTGAACGATCCTTAGCATTAGTTTGAATACACCATCACTATAATATTATGTAAAGAGGTTGTTGTCAAGACAACTTGATACAACTTATACACTAACTAGATTCTTGTCGGAAAGACTGAACTGTAGTTGTGTGTGTGCTCAAGCAAAGATTCTCATAGAAGCTCAACCATCATAAGTGTACAAAATTAAAATCAATGGCTTCACCAGTAGGTGATGACTGAGCTTCCTGAAGAACGATTCCATAGAACGAAATCAGAAGTAGGGTAATGGATCATCGGTACTTCACAATCATTGAACATTTACAATCAGATATTACGGGAGATAGAAATGTAGTAATGTTTTTTTGTTTTTGTTTTTTTCCCATTTTTGAATCCACTGAAATAAATTGATAATTGAATATTCGGAAGGTGCTTTTTGAGGATGCTAAAGTAAATCATTCGTATCTCGTTAATTAGTTGCAGTTTTTAAAATCCTTTACCTTCACAAGTTGTGAAGCTAGAGACTTTTGTTGGTTTTCAATCTGTTCATTCTTGAGGTCGGTATCTGTACTCAGATGATTGCTCGGTATGATGATGGATTATTCGCTCTCTATTCTGTTCAAATCGTTCATTATTAGGTCAATCTCGTTATTTCATTTCATTTACCAGTTCAACAAGAAGGTCTGGCACAAAAAAGTACCACTATTTTTCATCATATTTAAAGGTGGTCAACCGGAAGTACATACATCTCATAGTAGTTCTTACCGCACTGCTTGACACTTTGCATAGATTCTATGTAAACCTCCATCATGATAGCCTTATCGTGGTGATACAAATACGATAATGAAACGTGACAAAACACTGATCAAATGACAGCCAATATGTCAACGACGGCATGATTGAATCTATTTATATCAAACTAAATTATGTTTTGAAACAGCTGTCTCATTCATTGAAGCATTGTGAGAAAACAAGTGTTCTAGTCATCGGATCATCTGAGTCACCTTGAAGTGACAAAAAACCGAAACACTTATGATAATAATACGATTTATTCAACTAAAATTATTGATTAAATCGAAATAACAGGCACTGAACACTGATATGAGAATGAATGATCATTTATGCTACAGGATCTGTAGAGAAAGACGGAGAGATTTGAGCATGTTCATTAAAATCCTGTCACATAAAAAAAGCCATAGATCGAAAAATCAATGTTCTAAGACTACTGCTGTCGGTTTCAGTAATCTGACTGTATAACGTTCTTAGGACGAACCTGCCATAACCTTCACAGAGTGTATTTTTAGCGTAGAACGGTAACAGAAGTAAGCGCCGTATTGGCTGCTCGAAACTGCATGGCTCACGTGACTAGTTTATTTCCGAATCCTAAGGTTGCTTTGTTGGAGGGCTGGACAAGAAAATGCACACACGGGTCGAAGCCATGCATTCAATGTTCGATGAAGATTGAATGACAGGAGCCTGCGTGAGTCAACATGCGATTCACCGAGCTGTGAAAATGAGTCGAGGATATGGCATTCGAAACAACGCTTTTTATGAAGTTTGTCGGTTGCCCAAGTTAATCATTAGCTATCGCAATACATAGAAATGTATGATCGAGACATTCGCAGCACGGAGTCGAAGCATCGTAGCTTCAGACATGATATTGCCAGTGATTCGACAAAAACTTCGTCACCTGTACCTACTACGTCCCAAAAGTTTGTACGATAGTCGTGATCGTAAAACAACTTGTCCACCTGCAGTAAGTAGCCAAGAAGTACAGCCAAATTTACTGGCCGGCCTCAAAGTATTTGGATATTGTTAATCGTCGAAAGAAACACTCAGTTCCTTCACCTCTGTTCGTTCGAATTTTAAAACAAATTTTCATTCATATATATGTGTATAGAATTCATGGCAGATCTCTAAACACACGACAACATCAAATGTACATATTGTGATGGATGCTTATGACATTTTTGCGCACAAGCGGCTGCTAGTTGCTATCCAAGAGCCAGAAATCTAACACTTGATCAAACAGTACATTGTTGACGATCGGTCATATATTTGTACAGTTTATGAGTAAAACATGTTTCAGTAGCTTTTTTGTGTAAATGCATCGTCATCACATGGAAATCAGTGTGCGTTTTTTGGGGGAATAATCTTGTTTGAATAATGTTGGTTTCAGTAACTTACATCAATAAGGAAGCTGTCCGCTGAATAGCAAGGATACAAAGAATTCTGCAAGTTGGATGTAAAATTATTCGATCATATGAACAAATGATGCAACTTTAAAATATGTAGAATGATCAAAAGTCATCCTATAAATGGAAGAAAATGGAAAATTTCCATCACTGATCATTAACACAAACTCAGAATAACAGAAGTCTCATTAGCAGAGGCGATAGGTCATTGTAAAGCAATGCATCTGACCTGAAATACTTGGAACAAGAGGATTGGAAAGCAAACTTTTATGAGTCGAATTACAAGAAACTAAATTTTACGGCAGATTCTCAGAAGCTGTTGTTGTCGGATTCATCAAAAGTCGTTTAATTGAGAAAAGAAGAGAGAAATTACCATGTTTATAGAGTTTTACAAAGAAAGTGAGATCACAGTAGTCGATGACCAAAATAATAAACGACGGAAAGCGAAAAGGTGGGAATTATGCACCAGGAAACATTACCTAAGTGTTGAACAATACAATAGTTAGAGTAACCGCTCTAGTAAGCCATCTGATCTCACATTAGATAATAAAAATTAACATTAATGTTATCCTATAACGACGAGAATAAGTAGATAATGATACATGTTCAACTGGGAAAATGTTGAAGTGTATAACAAATGATAAGAATTCGCTTAGAAACAAGGAATCAGATTGGTTGTCAGTCAGCACACATGCGAGAGTTCGCTTAATAATCAGTAACCCAAAACAACGAAGCAAGAAATCAATAAGATAAAACAACAATAATATGACATTTATCAAGAAAAATCTACGCGTCTTAAGATGAACGGACAAACAAGATATCTAAGACGATAGTGTTTTACAGAGGAACAGTAAACGCGTATAATTGAGACAATGTAATTTTATTAGAAGAAACTGACCGAAACTGAGCAAACGTAAACGAGAATTATGATAACTATCTTGCTAGAATAATGATGAAATTGAACACGTTGTTGTGCTCACACCCATCAATGTTGAATGATATTCGGAGAAAATGAAGTCGAAAAGACGTTTGAATATCATTTGTATTGCTTCAACGATAGATTCTCATTTCCAAAGAGGTTGACTAATTATTTTTGATGAAAAATCTATTTTCAGATTACAAGCGAGAACGATCAAGGAATATCAAAATATTTTCAGTGAAACGTTGTTTATTTATGTTATTATTTCATGTGAATCATCGACTTTCTACAGTTGACTATAACTTTCCATATCGACTACAAAAAATCTTTTAGTCTCTGTGATTTACAATGCCGTAGTTTGCGTAGGTTATGACGGTTATACTATGAAGAAAAACGAAAAAATAATACACAACGCAAACCAAATTGAGGTATGTATTTTGCAAGGACTGATGAAACGAACTTGCAAAGCTGATATTGGTATTCTTCAGATAGAAATTCAAAGTTTCTGAGTAATTTACCAACCTCTCTCGGTATGAGGGTGTTATTATTCAGGGAATATAAAATAAATAAATTAGAAATCAAGAGAAAATGGCGGGAAACCGAACAAGAAATCTTCATTTTTAAAGGTGATTCATCACCCTGCTGATATTATTTCCGGATAAAACCAAAGTATAAAATGTCGTAGAACACTCACGCTACACCTGCTGTTACGTACAGTAATGTAGACAAGACAATAGTAAGATAACGAATAATCAGTGTTTCATCTAAACAGAGTAACTTCAGGGAAACTTAATTTAACTGCAAAGTATAGCAATGAATTATAGAGATATGATGCTATGTGATATATTGTTTGTCCTCTTTTTTTATACCGCTGTAGATCAAGAACTAACGAGTGTCTCGTTCTTCAACCTGATTAGCTGGATCTGCTTATAATATGATTTCTTAGTAAAGCTAACCGGTTGAAGTATATAATCAAAAAGTGGTGCTAGTTTAAAGAAGAAAACTCACGTTAACATACAACTGCATCCTGCTGAAGTTAAAGGATCCATAATAATGAAGAATATTTTGACCAACAGAGATAGTAAGATCATGGTTTCTGCTCAAGAGGCTACTCTAATTGCTTGGTTACAGACCTACTGACTAGTGGCAGATGTGTTCATGGGATGTAGAGAATACATT